CTTGTTCCCTTAACTGCTCAAATACTAAAAAATGTTTTAAGTAAACTATGACAGTCCTGCTATGTAATATTTCCAGTCAACATGACCCCAATGGCTTACAACATCACCAATTATTTACACAAAGTGACTAAAAACCAGACGTCTTTGACCTTTTTCATTTCACATGATGTGTGCTCTAAATACACCTTTTACACAAGAAGCTAAAGAGTTATCATAACATGCTGTTGCCAACACCTAAAGCCAAGCTCATACTTAAACTTTCAATCTTGATTTCCACACCTAGAGTGAATTCAGACATGATGCACGTGCAGATCCTGTACCCAGTCCCAGTCATACCTCGATCCCCCCAAATCCAGCCAATTCCATATATTAGTCTTAGAACTCTTCCCCGGGTCGTTCCTCACTACAGCTGTAAATCTCTTCTCAACCATAGCACAAGCTCCACATCCAAAATGCTATTCCCAATCCTGCCTCTTGGACCTCTCAAAGCGCCAGGAGCCCCATTCTAAGCACCGGGTCCAGAACCACCACATCCTAAGTGTTCTCCCAAATCCAAACCCATATCCCCCACTCCACAGAGCTTCAATCTCTTCCCTAGTCTCATTCCCAACTACAGCCACAGCCGGGGCTTCCATGTGCGACTGACACATAAATAACCAAGCCTGTCCGCCACCCAGGCAAATTCAAATGCACCTGTCAAAGTGATGAAACACCCGCCCGCAGGGAAGCATTGTTTACATTTTCACTCCACTCTTTGCAAAAGTGAGATTCTAATTATTTTCCCACTGTAAATTAAAGCCAAGTGGGACAGAACTACAAACCAAAAGGATCATGGCAGTGGAGAAAACCCCAACGCTCCCGCAGTATGTGCGAATTGGCGCGGGGTGGGAAATAGCTGAAGAAAATGTGTGGGTGGTAGACAGAGGGAAGGTCAGCAGCTTTTGTCTTAAAGAGGGGAGGCAGCGAGGGAGACAGACGGGGGAGAAAAGAGAGGTATAGCATTCACACTGGCTGTACGGCAAGACTAGTTCTGTTGTGCTCATTACAAACGGGGTCTAGAGAACTCCAACCAACTGGAATACATTATTCCCTCACATTTCATACATAATAATGTGCCAAAAATGTGCTGCATTATTTTTCATATCAATGGACAGAGAGAGAGAGACAGAAAGAGGTACAGAGGCTAAGAGAGAGAGAGGGGGAAATGTTTAATTAGTCCATGGGAACATGCAAATGGGAGGTAAAATTAGACAGAGGAAGGGAGAGATCTGGAGAAGAGAGACTGCATGAATGGTAATGATGGCTATCTAGTTTGGATCAATCATTAAGGGATCAGGGGGACTGACAAGCCTGTTTGTGCCCATGCCTTAGGCTCCTGTTCTGGACAGTAGCCAGCCAAGCTCAGCCTGCCTGCCCATGGAGACTTCTTTCTCCCCTTCCTTCAGTCGCACACAGGCGCACACTTATTCATATGTGCATCATACAGTATACGTGCAAACAAGTTTACCAAGGTGAACACACAAATATATATAGTCTACACATCTTTTTCTCCAGTAAGATCTAAATAATTAAGACTTAAAATTACCTCAGTCTGGGGCTGTGTTAGTTTGTGTTTATTAATCAGTGATGCATCCACCCTTGTGGCAGTGTTTTTGAAATAGTGGATCCACCATCGCGTTACTTGGCTGTGGGTGATTTCTGATTCGCTCTAAAGGCCCATGATTAGTTCCTGTTTTGACACCGTGTTTTGATCCATGGAAAATGGCAAAGTTTACCGCAAGGTCATGAGGTCAAGCTTGGGAACTCTTTTGGTTGTCATCAGGGACATGTCAGATTAGGTCATTGTGGAAATGAACTTTTTTTTTTTTTAAATAACAGTCAACTCTAGACATTGTGTTTATATCTGACATGTCACAGAATTGAGAAAAATGTCAGACACTGATAAATGTGACAGTCAAGGACAAGTGAGACAAATATACAAAATACACTGTACCAGTCCTGTTACTAGACCAGTGTGTCACCCAGTGGAAAATTACTATTTAAGGGTTCCCTGAAACTGTCTGCCCTCTTTTTTAGCTGTTAGTTGCAAGTTCAAATCCTAATTTAGGCATAAATATGGGTCACTCTTCAAATATAACACAAAAGAATATCCTTTTTAGAACGTAGTGCATTTGTCCCTTTATCTCTGAGGCAGTGATGATTATTTTTTGGCCTCGAACGAACAAAACAGCAAAGCGTCATGTTATCAGTGACAGGAATTCTAAATCCATCTCTTGACAGACTTTATATTTGCACACACTTGAATGAAAATGATTGACAGGTCAGTCAAATTTTATTACAAGTCACACTGGATTTTTAAAAAGAAAACCTTTCCACAGGCGTCTGTATTTAAAGACTGATTGCTTTTATTCTGCATTCATATGTGGTATGGTATGATTTGGTAGGTGTGAAATCGCATCTTCTCCCAGAAAGACAGACAGACTATATTTGTGAACCATGGAGCCATGTCTGCAGCTGTGCCATCCCCACTTCCTGTGCCCCTGTCCCTCCCTCCCATTCCCAATGTGCATTTGCGGTAATGTCTACAAATTCTGAAATTTATGTCCCTGCTGGAAAACATGGTTTGCCGTTTATAGTCCGCCACAAAAAGAAATAAGGCCCGTCTCTCCTGATACAAGTCAAGGGACTGATGCAGACTCTATCAGATTTCTAAATACAGACCCCAACGATAAATCCTGGCTTGATTGGGTTTGAATTGGGTTAGCTCACTTGAATGCTATCTGCTTAACCCACAGCTGGCCTGTCTGCTCCATGCAGACATTGAACCTAAATCAGTCACTTAGTGCTATCAAATGGAACAATGGTGGAGTGGAGAGAGCACTCAAGCTAGGGCTAGAAGCCAGGCTAGCACCATAACGCAACACAACAGACCAGAACAGAGTAGTATAGAGCAGACAGGCCCTCTAATGCTCTTTGCTTTTTGTGTCTCAGCAATGATGCTTCCGGAGAGCCATGGTGCATTGCATGAAATGGCATCACCCAAACCGAACACACAAACACCTTTTCAGGCTTTTGTCTAGTGTTGTCAACTGGATTTCACGTGCTAATTAGCGTAGGATGGTGGCATGGCTAACATCAAAAAAATCTATTTTCATGCAAGCCAAAATACATACACATGCACACCACACCGGGGAATTTAAGCAGGTGTGTTTAACCAAAGTGACTTAGAGTACAGAGGCAGAATCCACGGTGTTTCTATCACCACTGTACAGCTTGGCTTATAAAATCCTGGAGTGGGGCCATATTTGGGTCATAGGCACACTTCCAGTGGCCAGTAGAGGGGGAACGGTTGTTTTCTTACTCAGTTTTTCCCACATTGGTGACTTTAAATGTTTGTGATTTCGTACTGCATCATGACCAAGCTGTGAGCCGTCAGCATGTGGGAAAAGATCTATGATTTCACTCCCAGTTGTGTTTCCCCAAAAAGGAAAAAAAAGCGGCAAATCAACACACACATGCTATCCAAACAGACTGATTGCTGCCTTGCCGAGGTGCTGATTACTTAAGAAATTCAGGTAATCAGTTTCCTCCAGTGTGGGCTGAGGCCAAGCTGGAGGCAAGACGCAGTTGAGGCGATTTCACTAATGAGCATCCGAATTAGCATTGAAGAGTTGCATTCCCACCTACCCCTCACACACGCATGCACCTTCTTTGAGTGTTCTTGGCTAGTCTTCTTTTTCTCTGCACTCGTGACTCTTTGACATTTTGACAATGAGTTCCTTTCTACTCGTGAGGTTGTCTGGTATGCTATGTCTCTAATTACAAGTGGGGTACCAGCTCCCACTGTTTTCTCAGTGAAGTGCCTAGAGTTGTGTTTGGCTAAACGTTTATAAGTTTGGGGTGACATCGATACACCACTAAATTAAACTTCTCCTTCAACTTGACCCTGCCACTCATGGCCCGCTGAATGAGTTTGCCTTTTTCCTTTTTCTGTATTTTTAGACGAATCATAATTACGCAGCCAATTAGGGGGTCACCTTGAAAAACTTCCTCCTCTTTGTGACTCTGACTGTGTGTGTGTGTGTGTGTGTGTGTGTGTGTGTGTGTGTGTGTGTAGATAAAGTTTGCACTAGGCTGAATTTATAGCTCTGCATTAAGGTTGAAATTATGGTTTGTATACCATTTTCAGAGTCAACACATGCAAACACACAAACATTAAGTGTTTCGCATTGCATTCTATGCCACTGTCAAGCTCAAAACAGTTCAAAAATACGTATTTTGTATATAAATATGTGCAAATGTTTATTTACCTCGTGCATGAGAGCAATAACATCTGCAATAATTATTTGACCCTATTTGGACCAGGCTTTCGAGCATTAATTTGGACTTTGTTTGAGCCACATGTAAATGAGTGCTGTATGAGGATTTACCACTTTACACTACAATGCATAAGATCTGTGATCATTAGACATTCGAGCCTTGACACGCAGATACTTTCAGCGAGGGAGAAAGCTTCCATGATCTTCACACATGGATGACTTCGAGTTACATGACCTATATAACATGTTACACGCCCCGCTTGCTCCCCATGTCTCATCCTGATAGGGAAGGGCAGCGCATTACAGGTGTGTAAGCCCACTAATGTATGAACATGTACACACAGAGAAAAAAGTCCTAAACAGGCCAGTATGTACAATCACAAACACTACCTGTCTTTTTACCTGCTGCAGCTCATTCCCTATAGGTTTCATTCACTGCTAACGTAATGATGTACTGTATGCCAGCGGTGCTTATCTGCTGGCTCCATACATACATGCATTTCTGTTTTTTTCTCTCTTCTTAAATCATGACTTGTGAGTGCAGTGCTATTGAAGTTCCTACTTTGAAGAGCTATACATCAGAGCTTCCCAGAAGCCTTCGAAAGCACCAGCAGGGAAGAGTTTTACAGTGCTGCTAACAGCTATATATTATTCTCTTCCTTTGTGTCTGTTGTTGATCAGGTGGCTGTTAATGACTATATCTGGACGGCAGAGGACCCCTTGTCAGACTCTGAAACCCCTTGTGATGAACGGCACAGGGAAGGTGCACCCCTCCCAGAGGGTGAGACCAGCACCCATGTGACAGTCTACACTCTGTACCTGAGCGGGCTGAAGCAAAGATACAGGCACTTCCTCCGACATCCGGATGGGGCTATCGTTGAAGTAGGTGGAGACAACACAGCTGTAATGCACATGTATAATACAGTTGAAGATGGAAAGAATAAAACAGGGTACCGATCATCCATACTGCGTTGGTTTATTTTGTAAGCATACAATCTGTTGGGAGGGCTCCCTCCTCTGTTGCTGTTCCTGTGGTTTCTTCCCCTGTTTTTGTCAAGTTTTTTTCCCTATCTACTTTAAAAATGCTTTTTACAGTCTGTCCACTGCATAATATAACTGCGAATATTAACAAACATATGCTATGGCTGCACATTCCTCTAAATCTGTCAATTTAATAATTAATCTGCTGTGTATAAAATATTGGGACTGACTGAGCAATGCAAACATTTTATATATTTAACAGAGTTGATATTCAGGCATGTGATCTAAATATGAATTATGGCAATTTATGTCTAATAGAAAATAATGACAATAATTTGCTAACCTATTAAAAGAAAACAATGGGGAATATGACAAAACAGACATTTTCTTTCTTTATGATTCATATATATGATGTTCCAGGTACGATGAAGTTCAGATGATTTAGGTAACTAACACAATCCTCATTTGTTGTGAGACCAGTTTCTTCGACTTCTCTCATATTTCCTCAAACTCTAAGTGAGAGTGAGAGGAGGAAAGGACAGGAAGTTTTTTACTTAGCTTTCAGTGCAGTGACAGGGTAAGACTATATAAAGTCCAGGACATTCTGTTCAATGTAAGGCCATGACTTATGACGACATTAGAAACAGGATAAAAAGAACGCAACGCTACATGACTTTTACACCCGGTGTAATTATTAAATCTCATCCTGCAAGCATGTGCAAGACAGGCAGGTCAGAACAACTGCCTGATTCACAGATTGTCACCTAATTAAAAGTAGTGCTGTGTGACACCTGCTGCAGTCGCAAGAATGTATTCCTTTCCTCAATCATTCTGTCACTCCCCGAGCAACCTGGATCATTGCAAAATTAATATTTTGAAGTTTGAATGTCAAAGGAGTGAGGGAGGAGGGTGTTAGATGCACTAACAATTAGCTCTGAGGCACTGTTGCATTCTAATTGTTCTCAATCATAATATGAGTGATGGTGAGTTTGTGTGAGTAAAAACATGGCATGGTTATCTATTACTGGTGTCACGCTGTCTGTTTGTGTATGTGTGTGTGTGTACCCTCTAGTCCTGTGCATAGCAGATGAGACATCTGGGGGGATTGTTGATAACCAAACAGAGCACACACACGTGCGTGCGCAAAATGTTACAGCATTCACAAAAACCTTAGACACTCACCCTCTCCACAAACACACAAATGCAGACGCTGACACAAATGTGCTAACACAATAACCTTGACACACACACAAACTTATGTGAGAGACAGAATTCATTCCTGACATTTCTGCAGCGAAAATTCATTCCCTCGCTGCCCAGCTGCTTTTTTTTTTTTTTTAAATTGTGGAAGGAAGTTTCATAGAAACCACCTTAAGTGAAAGATAGGTGTCACTGTCCTTGGAAAACATCCACACACACACACACACACACACACACACACACACACTTCATAATCTTTCTGTTGCTCTCTTTTCTCATACACACTGTGTCCCTTGGGTGTTGCTGTCTGTTCCTTGTAACTTCACAGGCGAGGACCTCCAGTAGGTAGAGTTGCCGATGGCATCCTCTTTCACCCGCTGGTAGTGGGGAGCGATAACACCGATGTGCAGCGTCGCCGACAGAGCACTATGCCGTTCCCCTTCGCCTCGCAGCACAGACCCCCACTTTACATATTCAAAACTAATCCTCCCCTGAATATATAGACTGGTTTTATGTATAGAGCACGATCTAGGAATCACCAAAGGGCATCCCCAGCACTTGGAGGAACACTTGAGCTGATTTTATTAGTGCTTTATATAATTCTGGCAGTGATACACACACTGCGACACGGTGCTGTGTACAAACTGGCCTTCAGATGTAAGGTGACAGCTCCTCAGAGAGAAGAACAGCCAGACAGGCGTTTCTACAAAAATTAAATTGATAAAATATATAGAATGAAATAAGGCCTGACTCTAAGATACAGTGACCACAGTAATAAAGAGAATGCTCCCTCTATTCTTACATTTATGATATTTTAAAATAATTTTATGGCTTTTCCTGTATAGGTTTATTCACTTATTCACTTATCAGAATAACATGAACAGCATGTTTTATGGTGACGCGGTTGCACTGCCATGTTACTTGCAGTGAATACTTTTTGCACAATAAAACATTTCAAACCAGGACATGCAACAATTATCTACAGAATATCCTTTGCTTTTTATTGTCTGTTTTGAAATCTTGGTGCAGATGACATTTTGAAAACAGTGACGAAAATATTTGACTTAATTATAGTGTGTACTGATGTGACGCTATTCTACGTCCCAGTTAGTTAAATGACTAATCCTGCTCCTTAAGAAGTCTGTTTCCATTTACTAAAGAAATATTGACGGATGGCTCATTTCCTTTAAAGAGTTCTGTTTTCTCAGGCGGTGTCCTGGACACCGATGCCCCGGAGGACTTGTTCCGCCCTAAGACTAACATGACCACAGCTCCGGGGCCAAGCAGCTTTGCATAATACCCACACATTTACACCCAAAATTTGTCTAAATGAACACCTTAAAAAGGAAGTCCTGGAAGAAGGGCCCTGAGCTATAGACACTGTTAGACACTGTTTGGAAGGAACAACAGCTAGGTGTGTCCTGTTTGATTTGCTAGAGAGCGAGAAACTGAGCAAGAGTCATGAGAAACTGAATAATTTTGTTGTTTATTCAGCCATTATTGAACCAGCTATGTTGACTGAAAGTTATTTTTTTCCCTTCTTTTTGTGTTGCATCTTTAACGCAACACACAAAAAAGAAAAAAAAAAAGAAGATGCAATAAGTAGGAATTGAGCGAAAGGAGTAAAGTTGAAGTTGTGGGTATGTAGTAAAAAATATAACGATAATGAAGTCTTTATTGACTTGCATATTGAATTCTGTTTAAAGAAAGTTAATATTAATGATCCATCATATGCTCTCATTCAGTCTGTTGCCCAAGGCAGGTGTCTGTAATATTGACCATGTTGAAGGAGTCTTCTCGCTGAATCACAACAATACAAAAAGTTAAAGCTACGTTCCCATCAGTGTGCTCCAATAAAAGACATTAAAGGTAAAGTGAGGTGTAGCTTTTCAAACACTCATTACCTATAAACAGATGTTCCACAGCTGCCAACTCACAAAATGCACTGCTGACAACAACTGTTAGGGCCAAAATTATGCAGGGAAATGCATCTATATAACCTAGGACCTTCAGAGAAGGACTCATAACCACTCTGTCTGTAGAAACAAGATGGCTGATGAAGAAATTAATGCAGGCAAAGTCATTATCTTCCCTCCTAAAACCACAGTGGGTTTATGTCCCCCTGTGTCGTTTTTTCTCCGGGGCTAGCATTTAAGTGTCGATGGACTTATAAAAAGATAGGACAAGCCAACTGTGCTCCTTTTGTCTCCTTTCCTCCATATGGGAGGCAGCAGCATATGCAAGAACTGGCTCAGCTTCTGTAAAACTTCCATTAAAGATGCACAACTAAGGCTCTGCCAGCTTGAATATTACCTCTCTCCGCAAATTATTTATGGCTCGGAAAAAACGCTGATGATGAGCATCTCCAGCGACTTGTATAAATAAAAACACTTTTCTCTGCAATTTCAGCTGTGAGGTTTTTCTCTCTCTCTCTCTCTCTTTTTTTTTTTTTTTTTTTGGAGGGGAAGCACTTAACTGTTTGTAGAAACAAAAGGTATGCAGTTTATTCACACAGTGAGGTTTTAACCGTATTGGTTTAGTTGCCTCACCTTCAGCAGCGTGTTGTTGTATAATTACAAGAAGATTTTCTCTGTTTAGGTTGCAGATTTTTACAAAAACAGTGACAGAGCTAGTAAATAGAATGACGATAATAATGTGGCAGAGAAACACAAAGTTGGGAAGAGTTTTCATCACCACGCTATGCCACCAAATCTCTCAGAAATGAGGGCCTCTTTTTTTTTTTTTTCTTTCTTGCCTCTCCATGACTCAGCCTACTGCCAATCTGCACATGACCACGAGTCTTCGCCGGACCAATATTGACCTAATTTAGCATGCAAGAGAATACGAAGAAGTTAACCTTTCGAAAAAACACCTTGCAGCAACATTAATTGACAAACCGCATCAATTCTCCCTCCTACCCCTCTTTTGTAATTACTCTGCCGCATGTTTGATTGCCGCTGCGGAGCTGAGGACCTACGCTTCATTTGCCGTGAGGTCATCGGCAGCCCTCAGAAATATGAATTTGATTTATACAGGAAGTGAGTGTGCTGTGTATGCTGTGTGTGTGTGTCTTTTTCTGCATGTGGTGTGTGTGCCTACAAGAGCCACAGAGAAGGAGAGAGAGAGGGGAATGTCCTTGGCTACGTACTATATGTTGCATGAGGAGATTAATGCCTCCCTGGCAGCCATATCTGCTTAGCAGGAGGACTCCTCCAAAGTACACCGCATGTAATTATCTGGCAAGTTTATACTAGTTTTAGATAAAGAAGCACTCAGTGGAACATTTTTCACTTTTTTTTTTTTTTCCAATTGCTGCTCTATCTGTGTAATTTGCAAGTTTAGAGAAACGCCTGCCCACATTTTTGACATGACTACTTGATGCTGCTGTTGTTGCCCGTTTCGCTGATTATTATTTATGTAACATAGTGTAATAAATGTTATTTCTCCCCCCATATAGCTAGTATTTTTGACAAATGTATGGTTTATCATTCTATAATGGCTTATACCCAGTGAGATTTAAGTTGTATTTCCCTTCACTGTGCATAAGTAGGCCAACCTAGAGTTGTGAGAGCTGTTTCCCCTCTGGGACAAGAGGTAGTGTGTCATATAAAGTCTCCATTTCTGCTTCTCCTCCAACTTCACTCTAAGCACCAGGACAGAGGAAGAGACTATGCATGACAACACTACTCGCAGGCCTCAAGGAAAATAGCAGTTCTCCTGCCAATCTCAGTCACTGTCATCCAAGTTCAACCTGTACTTTGTGATGCTTGATACATACGGCCTCAGGGACGCCTGAAACTGTTGGGTTTATCAGTATTACGCTGTTCATTTTTTATTTTTTTGTTACCTTTCTGTTTATGTTGCCTGGCTAATATAAGCATGCGCTGCTGTTTATCTGAAGGTGATTGGTGACGTGGAGAGGGCCGACAGTGCAGCAAGGATGCTGCCCTGCCAGGGTCAGAGCTCTGCCAATCAGAGGGAGGACAAAGGAGGTGCAAGTGCTTCTCTCCAGTTACGGAAACGGAAGAAACTGTTTGGACGTGAGCATTAACTTGATGCTTCTTCCTACAAATAAACTTTATTATTATCACACATAATATCAAATATGTGCTTTTCACATTACAAGCACATTTTTAGTAGTCCTAGTCACATCATCTAACTCTAATATGACATATTCGTATAGTTTCATCAGCTGTTTTGTTGCCTTCAGGGTCCCATCGTGTCGAGCCAGTAGGGGGAAGCGGATGCGGCTCCAGCTTTGCACTGCAGGACCTCAGTCAATGATATCACAAAGACAGTCGGACCTCAAACTGATGACAATCATCTGACATTAAGAATCTGCAATATACTATGTAAAAGTTGTTACATTTCTAAATACTTGAATTTTTTCCGGCCCTGTGTATGGTTGTTAGATTCAAATATGAAAAACTCTGCTGATTAGTTTCTCAACTGTAAGTAGTTTAGATTATATTGCTGACTTGGAAATGCACTACAATGCATCTCATAAGCAAATTTTAACAGCTGGTTTTTACACACGTCAACATGTACTGTATTATTTGTGTCACACGAAACAGAATTACAGTAAGAAAAAAGCCAACAGCTGACTAACACCAATCTAAGTGGTGGTACTGTAAGTTATAGTGTATTGTTCTTCAAACCCTATGCAAGTAAACACAAATAGTGTATGTGAACCGATAAGCTATCTGTGACCTAATAAACCTAATAAACACTTGAGCAACACTTCTAATGAATGCAGGTTGTTAAGTGTCCCGCACTGCCTCAACACAATGAAATATGAAGATTCCTAAAGTCACTAATCAGAACACGAGTGATAAAATATCAATATTGGCCTCACATTAAGCAGGATAATATTCAGGCCAGCTTGATTTGTATTGAATATGTGTCTGCTAGCCGGTGCTTAGTGTAATGAAGTGGCTCACAAATCAGCCTGTAATGGCCGCCTACTTACACATATTGCTTAATTAAAGGTTGTGAGCTTATTAGCATGTGTCTCTGGCACAGGGTGCAGGAAGATGGGGATCAGGACTGATGTCGTTGAGGGCTCGGCTTTAAAGGTTTTATAGATAGCTAACCTATCATACTAAAGCCATAGCCCCCCTAAAATCGGATCTTAATAACCTGTCATTTTCATTGATGATGATTCTCCTTTATGGGCGGCCATTACAGATCAAGTTCTGGGTCTTGTTGAATGGCGATAGCGGTCATTTGTGCTCGTCATTATCAGGAACACACCTTACTTTGGCCTTGAAGTTGCTCCTCACCTCCATGTTTAAACCATCACAGTCATGGCCCTGGGGCACACGGTGCACAGCGCATATGGACACACACACATACCACATTCGCTCTCTCACATACACACTTACGACCCGCAGAGCTCTGATGGAGCAATAGGCCGTCCCAGCCTAAAAGTCCCCATAAAAGGAGAGAAAATGAGAAAAGAGAAAAATTACTGGATGGCATTTTTTTTTTTGGTTTATTATCCATCTGTGGTAGAAAATTTAAAAAAAAAGCAGAACATGGTGGCATAATTCTACAGAGAAATAATTGATGGTTTACCTTTAATGTATGCAAATGCTCAATTAGTTTATTTTGGTGCACTTTCAACATTGATAGGGAGTGTTAGACCAGCGTAGCATCCTGCCCTTCTGCCTGCTTTTGACACAAGCCAGAACCTATAGAGCTAATGCGCTCCAATTAGAGATCACTCCATTAACAGTGACAGTGCTACACCCCCAATTCAATCAGCCCCTTAATGAACATTAAGCAGAGACGCTGCCTTTCAGAGATGACAGGAAGCTCTTCTCTTTCTCCATTTGTCCTACCTTACTGCCTGCATCATTTTACTCAACTCTTGAGTTTGGCTTCTGCTTACTTTGTCTGCTTTTATTTAATATGCGGCGTGATGCCGGTCTGAAGAACAGCTGAAACAGACATATTCCACTGCTCTCCTTTTTGTTTTGATATGTTACTCTTTTATATAAATCTATAAAATTGATGAATTGCTCTTGTTTCACCTCCTGCTGTCTCTCTCATGTGATGTTTTCTGAGAGAATCATCACCTTTTCTGTTCATCAAAACAACGCCCTGTGCAGTATTTTTCCAACTCGGGGCAAAGGGTGCAGATGCAGACGGGGCAAAGGTATTACAATGGTTCAAATATTTGATTGTTAATGACAAACACCCATTTCACCACAATTTAAATTTCAAATTGATCCCTGGGAGCAATTATTTCTGAGGGAGAGAAACACGCCGCTAGGTCTCTGCTCCACACATTTGCTGATTTAAGTTAAAAGAAAACCTTTTTGCAGTGCTATCATAAGGGAGCTGCAACTTTTTGAAGTAAGTGCCTGCATCTGCTTAGAGCCAACCCAACCTGGGGATGTTGCTGGAGAGTGAGAAAAGAGGGGAAAAATAAAACATAAAAAGAAAAAAATAACACTTTGTCTAATTCTATATTTATGTAGCCCTCAGCTTGAGGTATTCACATAAAACAGTTTGTATTCAGAAGTGCGGCGGTGATCGTTATGCTGCACGTTGAGATCGGCGACTCTTCAGGCACGGTTGGCGGGTGCAGCTCAGCCTGATTCATTTGAATTAAAGTTGCTCAACTAAATAAAAGGGATTCAAATTCCCACTTTTGCTTCTGTTTTTTTTTTTCTCCTTCTTTCCAGACTTTCTCTGATTGTTTTTTAAGGCAACCACTAAAGCAATTCTTTTGATGAAGAATTTTGTGCATTTACTGTCTTTGCATACATGTCTGAGTTTTCTATTTACACAGGTTCATTTAAGGCACTGTTTTGTTTGATGTTGAAATATAATTACGCCTTGTAAGGAGAGGAAGAGCTTGGTGTTCTGATTTTTTTTTTGTTTTTGTTTTTTGATCAGAGAAAACCTAAGGACCTTATTGATGTGCAAGGGCACTGGGAGTATTTTTACATGAACAAAAAAAAAGGGGAAAAAAAGTTGAAAATATGTAATCTTAAATATTAAATCCAAAGTAATCATTTAAAATTTCAACTTCTTTGCATACTTTCGCATACATTCCTGAAAATCTTATAAGAATGTCAGCTTTTTATGACGCATACCATCATTTGATTTAAAATACATGCTTCATGTCTCTTTTTTCTTTTGCATTTGTTATTTTAAAGATTGTTTTTAAAGTATGGCTTACTCACTTTAGCAGCAGCACCATTTCGCGATGAATTTTAGTTCGTCCTAACAACGTGAAACCTGCAAAACCAGTACTACGGTGTTTTTTTCCCCTTTTTTATGTCACTACATTAGAACTAATATGCAAAACAGGTATACATTCCAGACCTTTATCAGGTTTTTATGCCCAAGCTGTATTCTTCTCCACTGACCCCGAACGTGATTTCCTGGTGCTTAAGCTGTGGAAAATACACACGGCTGGGGTGTGTGACGATGTCAACATCGTGCCATATTTCTGTGGCATCTGGGTAGATCATGTGCTTCTCTACACACATATTTATTTATTTTTCCTCTTCCAGAGCAGTGTCAGGGAGGCAGATGTCCTGCTCACAGGAAAAATAATTTGCGGTGAAGAAAAGGGAGGGGAGGTGAAGGGAGAAATATATGAATATGCAAATCTTGTCACAGTGTGGAACCTTGTAATGAGTGGGAAATGTTGTCGCCATCTTTCATTATGCAGAGGTCATTGCTTAATGCCAGGCAGCTGGGCCCAGCTTCTTCTCTCTGAGCTCCCCCCAACCTCTCCTGTCATTTCACAGCAACTTGAACCAAACTACAGCCTGGCAACACATCGTTCACAGACACACAAGCATGCACATGCAGACACGCACATTTCCATGTTCACGGCACCTGCATATTGCTTTTACTGAAAGAAAACCTTGTAGCTTCACTTTTGACAATTCTTTTTGAACACTTTACTGGAGGGATTAGGACAATTCCTAAAACTCTCGGGCTTTTAATACACACTGACTAAATTAATAAAAACAGTTCAATGTCAACCATCGTATGATTTTGCTCTCATGTCAGTGTAGACTATTGTCACACATGTCAAAGAGTATTCGTGGTTCTACAGTTGCTTCTAAAAGTATTCACACCTATTCACATTTTCCTTTTTTTGTGTTATAACTTAGATTTTAAACAAATAAAAAAGCGATTTGCTACCATCAGTCCACATTAAATAACATATAACAAAGTAAGAAGAACATGTTTTGAGATGGGCTGCAAAGTGGAGCGGTGGTTAGCATTGTTGCCTCGCAGCAAGAAGGTCGCCAGTTTGCGTCCCAGTGAGGACACCTGGGATCTTTCTGCGTGGAGTTTGCACATTTCCTTATGCAGCGTGGGTTCTGTCCAGGTTCTCCAGCTTCCTCCCACAAGGTCTATAAACATGTTGAGGTTGACTGGTGACTCTAAATTGTCCGTAAGTGTGAATGTGAGTGTGCTTGGTTGTCTGTCTCTAAGTGTGGCCCTGTGATAGACTGGCGACCTGTCCAGGGTGTCCCCTGCCTTCGCCCTAAGTCAGCTGGGATAGGCTCCAGCCCCCCGCGACCCTAGTGAGGATTAAGCGGTGTATAGATAATGGATGGATGGATGTTTTAACATTTTTTTAAAGCAATATACTACATATCCAATACTGAAATTTCTCAGTAAAAATATCAAATCAGTAAAAATACAAGGCAAGAAGGTCCTTGATGAGGGAAGTGACAAAGGATGTAATGGTTGCTCTTACAGAGTTTTAGATGTCATCTGCACGACAGAGTGGCTTTACTGAAGATATTTTAGATGAAGATGCATATAAAAACCTGCTTAGTGCTTACCAAACTGTATTTAACAGACTCAAATAGCATGAGAGAAAAGATTTTCTGATGAGTTGAAAACTATTTGGACAGAGCTTCAAGCAATATGTCTTGCAAACCCAAGGTATCGCTCTTTATCTGACTGATACCGTCCCTACAGTCAAGCATGGTGGTGGCAGCATTATGATATGGGTCCCTCTCAGCAGCAGGGACAAGGAGACTTATGAGAACTTAAGGGAGTATGAATGCAACGATATATAGGAAGGTCAAGAAAGTCACCTGCTACGGAGTGAATCTGATAAAAAATAAAAGAAAGTCTTTTTTTTTTTTTTAAAAACAAAAAAAAGAATTTAGAATGCAGTAAAGGGTCCAAAAAGTGAAAGGGTCTGAAACACTCTCTGTAGACTGTACTTGTATGTTGCATGTTCCATTTGTGCAAGAATGTGCATACAAAAACTCAGCGTGCACACTGGTTCTGAAAAACTGCAAAACCGGATGAAAAATGTGACTCCTGTCAATCCACCAGGTAGATCATGTATGTGTCATTGCGTGGGAGCATTTAGTTGTTTTGAGTTGAAAGTTTAAAAGCGGGTAGCTGTTGTTGTTCCTTGCTTTTCTTTTGATCAACCCATCCATGTTTTGTAGATTGCTGAGACAGCTCGCTGCTGTTCTGTCTCCTCTCGCAACAGCTTTCCTGAAATTTCCGCTGGCGTCTGCCCGACATTGAGCTATGGGGCTAA